CACCAGCTCAGAGAACTGGAACAATGGCAGGTTCCCAGCACAAGCTAGATAGCAGGGCTTCAACACAAATCTGTCCAATGAATGAATGATGAGAATCACACAGGAATGCCGAGAAGCGAAATGACCAGCATATGAGCCTGCACACTTACAAAGTCCCTTCCTCCTTCCCTACATCTCACAGGGTCCGTGGTCTCTGCTGGTTGTATAGCTGGAGACAAACAGATGGCTACATTAAAAAACAAAATACTCATGAGCACAATGAGATAAAAATAGCTCTTAAGGAAAAAAACCTTTACGTGTGCTCATTTATTTTGCCATTACACGTCATGGCATTTGCTTTTCCTCTGTACTTATTTAAGATACTCACTACCTAAACCATTAATTGTAGCACGCAGGAGAACAATTATTTGGAAAGCAACTGATCAAATACTCTTAGGGCAGCACACAGCCTAGTGGTTGGGCAGCTGGGGAAAGCCCATCATGGGGAGACAACTGTGAAAGCCGACCCTCTCCACTGGGGGAGCCAAGGGAAGTGCCTGATTTCTGAGCTCATTCGGTTTGAACAAGTACTATCTTGAAACACCTCAGTCCTTCATTCCTTTTTTGGGCAGCTCCTTTTGTGAAGCCTAATTAAAGACAGATATGAGAGAGGATAGCACTGGGGTCAATCTTAAACTTCAATAGAACTTAGTACTCAATTATCTCGTAAACATTTAAAAAGCACTCCTATACTCCATTTAAGGGCCTCGGCGACCACAGAACATGAAACGTGTGGGTAGACAGATCTCACAGCAGATCCTGGATTCTGCTTAAAGTAAAATCACACTTTATATTCTGTCAATTTATTCTCGATTTGTTCCTTCTTTCTGAAAATTCAACCACTGTCCAAAATTCCAGTACACCAATAAAACATTTAGGGTATTTAAGTCACAGTAACTAAAACAAGCGCTAAAATTTTTTCCTTAAAATATTGGAAACTCTGAGTTCCTCTGACTTGGGTTTTGAAACACATACAGATGAAATTTAAAAGACAGCAAATGTTAAGCACTAAATTCTTATCTGTACAAGCACCCTTAATTTAGGATACTTCAGAGTCACAGAGAAAAAGAAACCTCTGTGTGTATCCAGATTGATTTCTTCAATTCAAGAGCCAAGTGCATCAGTTCATTTCACATGAGTGTGCGAGGAGAAAGAACTGCTCATTAGTACTTAAAATAATAACATGGCCTCTTCGTTCCCCCTCTTACTGATAACAAGCCCTAAATTTAACCTCATCTTGTCACAGCCTATAAAATGCTAATATATATCTATTTCACAACGGCTATTGTTCAACTTTTCAGGAACTGCCACTTCTGTGATGAAGTGACAAGACAACTGGAAGATGTGCATAGCAGCACAGAACTCAAATTCTTCCCGATGGAGAGTTAGATTCCAGCACTGAACTGGTGACGTGTCTAAGTGTCTAATACTCTAGGTATTTGCAAGGGAAAGAGATGTCAAGGTGCCTAAAATGGTTTGCCTTATTAGGGGCACTTTCTTGACCAGAGGCACGGGGTGCTGGGGGGAGGTGATTACAGGGCTGGTGATGAGAATGACAGCCACATTCTTTCCTGTTACAAGGGCTGTGGGAGCAGCTGCAAAAGCTGGGCCATCAGCGGCCTGTGTGGCTTGTCAGTGAGCACCAGGCCCCATCCATGACTACAGATAGGCGAGAGATTAAGCAGGGTTTTCAAGATATTCAGACTGAGATACAGTCACCTGCCAAACTGGTCTTCTGGAAAACCAAGGTAATAATGCTCACACGTACACCTCTGCACACTAAATTTGGGGGACTGGGGGAGGGGAAACCTGGGGCTGTCAGCGTACGTGACGGTGAAAGAAATACCCCAAAATGTGCACCTCAGTGCCTATGGCATGACACCTAAACACAATTTTTAATATAATTTTCACTTAAAAATTCTTATAACTTTTATAGAATATATTGAAAACGAGGCAAAGCAAGGCTACTGCCATCAGTTTGATGTTCAGAATATAATCAGTGATATCAAGTGTAAGTCCCCCATGTCTTTATGTCACACAGGTACTGACTCCCCCCAGAGGGGAGCAGGCTCCTCAAGGCACCGAGTGAGCTTTCTTTGCTGGGTAAAGCTGAGCGACAGCTACTTCAAGTGAAAACAACCTCTCACTTAAGAGTTGCTAGTATATTCTGATGAATCTTCGCATAGTGAGCTCATCTGCATAGTCGATGTTTTGAAACTCTTTTCATTAAGCATTTCTATTAACAGAGAAAATTCAACCCCTTGCCGGCCACGAGCCAGTCCCTGAGTTGGTCCGTCAGCGGAAGGCAGCGCTGGAAAGCCTGCTGCTGAATAATGAAAAGTGCTAGCAGGCACACGGAGAATCTCACAGTGGTTTCAGGTTCAGACTGAAAAGGCGGGACGTGCTTTCTAGTTGAACACTCTGCCCACGTTCAGGCTTTTACACCACAAATCCATCGACTCCTCTCCTGCCTCTAGATTCTAAAGCGTAGTAGCTAGACCAGACTCCTACCAGTTAATGAAGTTTCATATTCTAAAACCATAACTTGGGTAATTTACCATGGCACACTACTGTTTGGTAACTAAACTCTTATCTCACAGCAACAGCATCTAATACGCTTCTCGGTTAGAAACTGGATTCTCCTTACACGATTAAAGTCATTTGGATTTCAGGCACTTGGCAAGCCCACAAGATCTATTTCAGAATGTGATTCGCTTACTGAAGTTGAGAACAGTTACACTGACTTCCTGGCAGGATTACACTCACTTCCTTCACATGAGAGGAGAAGGAGTAAAGGTAGTGATCCTGCTGCGATGGGAAAGTTACAACAAACAGGGAGTTCTGCTTGAACAGTCTCCTCCTCCTCTTAGAAAAGGCAGCGGCTTGAGTGTACAGCACTAGGACTCAGAAACCGTGCAGCTTCCATTCCTTACATGAAAGGAAATAGCAGGATATAAAAACATGTCAGAAGAGCAAAGAAGCTTCATTCGGCCTTGACCACAGTGAACATTCAACATGTTATTTTCTCGCTTAAAGTTGCCTGAAATAATCAGATACTGCCATTCAGTATGGTTCAGGCAGTCCTGCTGTTTTAAAGCGAGTAATGTCTTTCCATGGCGCAGCTTCTCAACCTCAGCAGGACTGACATTTGGGGCTGGATAACTCCTGGTTGTGGGCAGCCGTCCTGTGCATTGCAGGGTGTAGCAGCATCCCTGGCTACTCCCCAGAAGCCAGGAGCACACCGCCCCCTCGACTGAGACAAATGTCTTCAGAAGTTGTCAAATATCCCTTGCAGGGGCAAAAACTCCCCCTTGAGATTTGGGCTTAGAGTGTAAATTAACCAATCAGCACAGACAGACAGACTTACGCATTCTTATTTCAGTGACATTTCCAACAGTGGCTAATCCAAAAAAACAAAATAGAATTCAATTCTATAAACAGCGACAAAAACCCAATTTCAGTTTTAAGTATCATGTGAAATGTTTTAAATTTCAATATCCTAATTTAGCTACTGACAAACTTTTAATCTTTTAATTAAAAAAGTTTAATATTCTGATTTTTAACTTTATAACTAGGTACAGAAAATGACTCCTCCTATCTGCATCCAGGGCTGAATCTCAGGTCACTAAGATACTTCTGCTAATTCCAATAGATCTACTCCGTGTAGATCTCCTCTTGGACGAAGGGTGGGGTAGGGAGGCGGGGGAGAAAGCCCCTGGACTGCGCCTGCCTGTTCTTTGCCTCAGTGTCAGGTATCTGATGTGAGTCATCCCTAGAGTCCTTCTAGGTCTTCTTCCTGTCTGCCTGGTCTTTTCTTTATTCAAAAGGCCCATCAACCATATTTTATAAGAATTGCCTTTACATTACTAGTTTTATCTTGTGTTTTGTTTCTGATGTTACTTTTAAAAAATGGTTTATTACTTATTTCAGAGATTGGCCTAAAAGAGAAACATAGCTATTAATTCATTCTATCAAAATTCTCCAAAGGAGGATGGGCATTTGGCACAGTGGTTAAGATGCCAAAATCCCAGATTACAGTGTCTGAGTTCAAGTCCTGGCTTAGCTTCCTCCCAGCTTCCTGATAACATGCACTCTGGGAGACAGCAGGTGATGGCTCATGTACTTGGGTTCCTGCCATCCATGTGGGAGACCTGGATTAAGTTCCTGGCTTCTGGCTTCAGCCTGGCCTGGGCTGAGTATTGCAGGCATTTAGGGAGTGAACCACTGAATGGAAACTCTTGTTTCTCTGTGTCCCTCTGTCTTTCAAGTAAAATAAATGAAAAAAAAAAAATTTAATTCTCCAAAGGATCTAAGGCCCTATATCATAGACAGTCCATATCACCTTTACATACATTTAGTTACAGATACACTCAAACACGATAGAAAATGGATGATGACTTTGTTAATGTTATATTTGGATTTGTAGATATCATTCTATCAGACATAAGCTTTAGAGAAAATGAGAGTTTAGAAGCAAAGATTATTCACAGAAACTTTCCGTCTTCTTTTTTTAATGTCTCCTTAGAGAATGAATGGAAACCAAATAATCAGGCTTATTTTTCAAGTTTCCATGGAGACAACTCTTAGCCCTCCTGTGGGCAATGGCTGTCAAGCCCTCTGGAGCTCAAGTTCACTCAGGTTTATGGACAGATGTTAAAGCTGTTGACCTGTCAGTGTTATCTTACTTTTTTAATAACTGTGGTACATTTCTAATACTCGAATAAGAAAGCCTATTTAAAGGCAAGCGGATAAAACTGCTTAACCTCATGCATCTATGGGGAAAAACGGTACACACAGGCACACCAAGACACAGCAAGGATTTCCAAAAGGAGCACAACTTAAAACGTGCTACATCTCATGTGTCTTCTAGGCACGAGACACCACAGCAATTACGGCTCTGGGAAGAGACGCCCCTACAAGGGAGGAACAACTTATCAGATGTGAAGGCTGCAGATACATACCATCAAAACTGCCTTGCTCAGAAGCAACGTGCAACAGCTGATTATAGGTTTCCACTGAAGGCTGATAGACAAAGACCCCGGAGTTGAAGCAGTCAGGCCAGCCTGGGTCTGGTGCAGCCGACAGCTCTTCTCTCTCAAAAAGATCATCAATATTTGCCAGGACCTGATTCAAAGCGGGAGGAGAAACATTACAGAAATGTTTTGGGGTGGCCTATCCTTCTGAAGTGCTCCCAGTGTGATCCAACACAGAGGATGATGACAGCTAAGGCAGCCAGGGCCCCACTGTCCGTCATCCCCCAACACCTTTCACAACGGTAGTGGTTTTATCTGAACTTGACTCTCAAGTCTTGCCAGCATTCCTCAGATGCCTAGCAAGTCTCGGCCTGTATATCCAGGACATCCTTGCAGCCCTGTGAGCCTCACTCACCAGAGTATCTGCATCCATGAACACGCATTTTGAATACTGGGTAAGGGACCAGCAGTGCAGTTTGGTCAGTGTGACACCCAACTCAGGCCTCTTCATTAAGGTGAGATGCGCAGAGTCGCCACTGTCCAAGATGTCCACGGTGATGACTTCATCAAAGACTATCTCTAAAGCCTTTCTGTCAAGACAAAACCCAGAAAACGACACTCAGTGTCTTTTCAGAACAAGTGACCCACCCTTTCTGTCACTTAGAACAACCTGTTTGCTTGGTAGGGCATATTCCCTGAAATCTGTCTTCATTTACTTGAGGGCAAATTCTGTTCATCTGCATGTGCAGCTAACTTTCCCAATAAATGTTTATGGTGAGGTTCAAGTGCTAGTCTTAAAAATTATTATAGACATTTTCTATTTTTTTAAAATCCCGGCACTGAATACTGGGCAGGTTGTAAAGATAGCTTGTAAAAATGTGACTGACACTTGGTCAAAGAGTTTCATCTTCGCAACAGCCTATATATTTGATGATGACATTTTATTGATTCTTGCAGACTGCTGCATTCCTTTACAAATGATGCTGAGTAACGTGTGCATAGGGTACTCGCAATGCAGCCTTTAACCAAACATGTTTGCTAACACAATTGACGGGGAACTGCCCATCGCTCAGTGTCCCAAAAGAAGGCAAAGGGCTGGGTTACCAGGTCACTATTTTTTTAAGATTCCAATTTAGTGTGCATTTATAATGTGCTTAGCACTCTACTGGGGCACAATGAGAGTCTCACTTTGCTATGTGAGGTATAATTCTCCATGCCCACAATTTAGGAAGCTTTATTTTGGAAAGCTCTTGAGGCGCTTCAGAGGGGTAGACTCAGGTAAGACACTAAACTGAGCACAAGGAAAAACATACGCTAAAAACATCATCCCTGGACGTTTAGAATGATGTCAGAGATGCAGAACAAATCTTTTATATTCTGCTTCCAAAGCTGTCCCAGAGCAGGTTCTAGTTAAACTGTAAACTCAGTCTGTTTGAAAAGAAATGGCCAGAGGCAAATAATAAATTCATGCTGGAGGGGGAAATTCAACTCTGATTTCTCATACACATCCTCACTGAGAGGCTACAGATCAGGACACATACATTAGAAGGTGGCCTTTCTGGCATCTTCCTAAATCACCATTTTAGGAACAAGGTTGTTAGTGTGAAATATATATAAATATATATCCAGATATATATATATATGGATACATACTGCCTACTTTTCAGAAGCCCTTGGCTTCTGCTTAAATTTTAAAAAAAGTCACAAAAAGGGCATTTTCAATTTCTAAGAGGGCTAGCAGCCCACAAAAATAAACATGACACAAAGCTGCTAGTGTGCCCAGATTTTTTTTAAAGTTAGTGAACTACACAATCAACAAGCTGCCTGTGCCCCTCAGGATGCCTTCTCTAACAAAACAGAAAGTCAGAAAGCCTCTGGGAAGATTTTAGTTGTATTATGTTGAAATAAAGATCTTTACACTCCAATGTCAACTGGCAATGAAGGAAGGGACTGCTTCTCTTTCAAAGTCACCAGAGGGTTTCCTGGCTTCAAACAGGACTGGGCACCCCTGCTGCATTTGGGAGAGGACTACAAGTGAGCAGTGACTACATAAAGGTGCGTGTTCATCATCTAGACAGCACTTGGCCAAGTTGAATGCAGCGTCTTCCTTCTACTACTCCTTGGACTCAGGATGGGTGTGGGTCAGAACGCCGCCTCCCACAGGGAGCTAGGCTGGGATACCTCCCAAAAGCTGGGAGGAGGTTTCGGTCCCAGGAATCCTGCACTCAGCAGCTCTTGTCCTTCTCTACCCATTGCTCAACTCCTGCACAGGGTGTGACTCAATGCCCACCAAGGCCAGAGATGGGGAAGGAGGATGACAGAGCCCTGGGGTGGGTGGATAGACACACGGGCCACGAGGTTCTCACCTCATGGTGTCTGAGACCTGTGGGGTGGTGAGCACGGCCAGCCTTCGGGAGGTCCTATGCTGTTTCAGGGATGAGCCCAGGACCAGGGCACCCTTGGCGTAGGCATCGTTTGTGGTCAGTGTCACAAAGGCCTGATCTTAATACAAAGAAAAAGAAAAACCACGCTCATTACAGTATCTAACTTGGAAAAAGCATTTTCCCCAGGACCCTGTTCAAACAACAATTCGGCAAAATCAGCAACTCTCAGACCACTTGCTCTATTAAGGAAGCAACTGCTTTTTTTGGTGGGGAAACCCCAGCAGCTGCTTCAAGAATGCTTAAAGACCCTTGCTTCCCAGGACTGTCTGGCAACCTTTGAGAGGCTTACGGAGCCATGAAAATTGCTAAACTGGCAGACTAAACAGCTCAACACCCAGAGGGTGAACTTCAGGCAATCAGCGGTGGTGAGAAGAGAACAAGAGCGAATTTCCCTTTTCTTCTGCAAGGGTCTATCTTCAGGCAGGCACAAACCCAACTGTCAACCTCAGTTGAGACTGAGAGTAGAGGCCACATTCTTCATTCTGGGTCTTAGGATCATGCCACACTGCAGGCATTTTTATCTTTCTTTTAAAGATTTATTTACTTATTTGAAAGAGTGACATGGAGAGAGGGAGACAGACCTTCCATCCACTGGTTCACTCCCCAGGTGGCCGCAACAGCCAGGGTAGGGCCAGGCCAGAGCCAGGAGCCTGGATTTCAGTTCTGAGCTCCTGCACAGGTAACAGTGATACACTTAGGGCATCTGCTGCAGCTTCCCTGGCACATGAGCAGGGAGCTGGGTGAGCAGTGGAGCAGCTGGGACTCGAACTGGCACTCTGACATGGGATGCCGCGGTTATAGGCAGGCAGCTTAACCTGCTGCACCCCAACACACCAGCTCCATGGCTTTGCATACCGATTCTTCAACCTGGAGCAAATGTGCCCCGCCCATGTCCTCTGAGGAGTCCCTGGGAGTCTCTGTCCCGATACACTGCCCACAGAAGACACCTCTCCATGAGGCTGCCATCTAAATCATGATCCATCACTGTCATATGGATTTAGAGACCACCCACAAGTGCTAATAAGTCTGCCTCTACTTTAGAGAAGGAGTAGCTACTACCCGCACCCAGGGCACCCTGCTCCCGCAGCCTTCAGCAATCACTTTGCTGCCAGAACCCAAGGCAAACACGTGGATCATTCCTCCCCCTGAACAATCCCCACCGCCAGCCCAACCTTTAACTTGTCTCTGGTCTTTCTTCCGGGACCATTCTGGGCATGCTCCATGGCGGAGAATTTTTTTTTTTTTTTAACAGCAAGCTGGTGGGCATCCAAATGTATAGGATGACTGAGGAGCAGGCTCTGGCAGGGGTCACTTGGGGGCACTGTTGCCCAACCAGGGAGTTGGGACATGTTGCCATGGATTCTCCGTCTTGGGTTTCGTCATTCTCCCTTGCCCATTTTCCAACGTGGAGGCTGGCGGCAGGGGCAGTTCCATGGAGGAGCGGGAGAAGGTTGTGTGCTGCCGAGTGGGCCAGCGTATCCTGCAGGTGTGGGGCCTGAGAGCCATCTTCTCGCGTAGGACTGCCGCATCCTCTTATCGCTGAGCCCTCTTTCAGGACAGGCCGACTTCTAAGTTACAGAAAGACTGGCATGGCCCACCCTGGCGGGTCCCGGGCTTCCAAGCCCATCACACTGAGGAACCCTGGGAGCAGTGCCACCTGCCCCTTATCAGGCCCACCCACCTCTGCCTGTGCCTGCTGCTCTAATCTTCCACCTGCCCTAAGGCAGTACCGTGTCAGTCAGTCTGCATCCAAAATACTTAATCTGGGCATTAGGAGTCCTGCTGTAACTTAAAGGTGGTCCAGTGTCCCGCAGGTCTTGGAGAAAGTTTAACAGCAGGATTCAAGGAAGCAAAATATGGGTGAATTCCTGGATTAAATAAGGGGCGGGACAAGTGCTCAAACGCTGAAGCACCCAGGCTACAACACCACACCTAGCAAACGACAGACCCACAACAGCTGGGTAGGAGCTCCACGTCCGCAAAGGCGACTGAGCTCCGTCACACCTGCAAAGATTGGCAGGCAGTTCAACTGCCATACCATCCCGGCAATCAGCCGCAACCACACGGAAGGGCCAGTTTCTTCCCAGCTTCCCGGTCCTCGCGGGGGGCAGATTCGCCAGCGGCCGCGCCGCCCTGCAACAAGTGAAGCTGAGGCCGGCGCCCTCCCACCCGCGGGGCCCGCCCCCGGGGACACTCGCCCGGCTGCCGGCTCCCCGCAGCCCGGCCCCAAAGGCCTAAAAATAGGCTCGGCGTGGCGGCCAGGGCCGGGGCGGGCGGCCGAGAAGCCGGGCCGAGGCCGCAGGGGTCCCGGCTCTGGGCGGCCCCTTGCCTGGGGGCTCCTGCCGGCTAGGCAGCGGACGCACCCCGCGCCCCCTCTGCGCCCCGGGGCTGCCGCCTGGCGCCCCCGGCTCCCCACCCCCACTCAGCCCCGCTGCAGCTGCTGGGCCGCCCGCCCTTCACGGCGAGAGCAGGAGGAAGGGCGAGGAGACGGAAGCCGGAGCAGGGTTTCGGCCCAGGGCCCCCGGCTCCGCCGCACTGCTCCGAGTCCTGCGCGCCGCGGCGCGGCGGTCCGCGGCAACTTTGCGGCGCTCGGGATCCTGTGGGAACTCGCCCGGGGCGGCGGCGGAGCGAGGAGCCGGGGACGGCGGCGGGGCCGAGCCCGCCGCGCGCGGGGCGGCGCGGCGCGTACCTGTCATGGTGCTGCCGGGGCGCGGGCGGCCGCTGCAGCCGCAGGTTAGTGGCTCGGAGAAGCCGGGTGCGGGGAGGGGAGCGCGGCCCGGGAGGAGGCGCGGCGGGAGCCCAGCGTCCGCCCCGAGCGCTCTTATAGCGGCCGTCACGTGGCCGCGCACGCTCCCCGCTGCTGCCTGCATCCTCCCGGCTGGCGCTGCCGGCGGGGGGCGGCGGCCGGCGGTTCCGCGGTCCGGGCCCGCGCCTCGGCCCGCACCTGCCTTGGGGCTGGGCGGCGGTTCGCGCCTCCCCGCACTCCTGCCAGGCCTCCCTGTCCCGGCTGAGCCTGAGACCCCAGGCGGAGTGTGGCCTCAGGCTTCCAGAGAAGTCAAGGGTTAGGGAGCTCTAACTCTCCAACCAACTGTTATCCAGTTAGCATAACTCCTCCGCTCCGCTTAATTCATTAAACATGAATTTTAATTCCCTTTTTTTCACCTCGAATTGCAAATCCGCCTATGGAATTGGTGTACTCAGAATAGTTTTGTGGCCTTGATGGAAAGATACGGCAAATACTCGGTAGGCACTATTTAGATTCTTGGAACTGTCTGTATCAGTTAGATATTTAAGTGCTTCATGTAATCCTTGTAATAACTCAGGTAAATGCTCTACGTTCGCTTTACAGATGAGGAAACTAAGGCACAGAAAAGTTAAATTGCTTTTCTAAGCCCGGATGTGAGTGAAGAAGGTGGGATCTGAATCCTGGCAGCGGGGCTGCAGAATTAGCCTTCCCACTGAGAAAGCCTTGTTTGTTCTTGGCACACTGGTGCTTCCAAAAGGTTAGTAAATATGGTAACTGTGGTTAGGTAATATAGTTTTTTTGGTCAAACTGTTTCACAAATCTTGAAATGGTCCATTTGTCATGCTTCTAGGAAGTTGAGAAACACTTCTCTTAATGTGATCACACCCTTTGCTGCTTCCCAGCCCAAACACAGTGGAAAGCCTGCAAAAGATACTCAGTAAATGCGGGGTGATCCTACCAGGCTCCTGGAAGCCAGTCACGAAGGTGACAACATCAGTCAGTTCAAGAAATGAAATAGGTGCTTGAGAACAAGTGATTTATTTGCAAAGGTGGTGCTGCCCTCTCTCCTGCTCATAGACCCATTTGACTTTACTACTGTAAAAGTGATATGCATTCAGTACAGACCATACTTTTTGAAATTTTGATCCACCAACCCCACACCACCCCTGCCCCGGGCTACAATTCTCTTACCATGCATGACAGCAGTGGCCAGTGCAGCTCCGGGTCAGCCATGCACTCATGAAAGTGACAACCGAGACTTGACAGTGTGTAGTGTTGCTAAGCTGGGATGTTAGTAGGTTGGGTGTGTGTTAAATGCATGTTTGACTTACAGTATTTGCAGCTTAGGATGGGTTTATCAAGACAGGAAACCCCATGGTAAATTGATGTATGCCATTGTTTCCTTATGTGTGGGACTGGCATTCTTACAGGACAATCATTTGGGGGCACTGGTTGAAATGTAGATTTCGGGGCCTCAACCCAAACCTCCTGAGTTAGAAACTCAGGGTAGAACCCAGAATCATCATGTTAGATATCACCCTGCAGAGGCTTCTTCTGAGTGCTTCCCAGACCCCCTCTCTCCACCATGGCCTGGAGACCACTGAATTCCCAATTACAATAGGTACACCCAGAGTGAGGCTTCCATATTTCCACCCAGGAACCCTCCTGCCATTAATAACTTCCACCTGAAGTGTGTCAGGCTGGGCTTCCCTCAGGGGCAAAAGAGCAAAGTGAGAAGGAAGAACCAGGGACAACTGGGAAAAAAAAAATGGGAATACTTCCCTTGGGAACAAGCTCTCTCTGCTCTACCACCCCCAATATTTAAATAAAAGGGGTCCCCTTGGCCTTCTTTCCTGGGATGGATGTATATTTATGTAAAGAGAAACTTTACAGGGGCAGGCTTAAGTTGCAATAGTTAAGACACTGCTTGTGACACACACATTGCATATCAGAGTGCCTGGGTTTGAGTCCTGTCTCCACTTCTAATTCCAGCTTCTACCTAATGTGCACTTGTGCAGGCAACAGGTTATGGTTAAAGTATTTGGGTCCCTATATGCCCTTATGGAAGAACCAGACTGAGTTCTTGGCTCCTGGTTTTGGCCTGGTCTAGCCTTGGCTGTTGCAAGCATTTGGGGAGTGAACCAGTAGATGAAAAATATATTTCTATCTCTGTGTCTCTCTGCATTTCAAATAAATAACATTTAAAAAAATTTAAAACAGGAAGTTTATAGCTTTTATCACTCTGAATCAGATAGGGACATTTTGAGGTTTCTACAAGCTGCTCTTAAATGTTCTTAATCAAGGTTACTCATAATGACCCACCGCCTAATTCTCCTGAGGTTGCTCTGTGTGGAGTTTCAGTTGGATGTGAGAGCAAAGCCTCTCAAACTTTAATGTGCACACAAGTTGCTTGAGGATCTTATTAAAATGCAGATCCTGACTCAGTTTTTAGGGAGTGGATCTCCCAGGTGGTAACCAAGCTATAAGTGGTGTTATTTGGATGTTTTGGATTATAAGGCATTGAAGGCAATGGACAGATAGACACATGTTTGTGACTTTGGCTTGTGAACCTTATTTCTTGTGAAGTCTGAACTTGCAGAATTACTGAATCCTAACGGGAAAATTGAAGTGAAAAAAAAAAAAAAGTTGTACACTACATAAGTAGTACAAGCAGAAATATGCATAACAATTAACCTTTAAAAGCTGTGCTACACGTGTATAATTTGCATGGTTGGTCCAAAATTCATTTTGAATTGCCTTTGGAATGTGTTATGTAATGTTTTGGCAGGATGCTTACCTTCCTAATTATGGTTTTGTTTAAGATAATGTTGAAATCAGTTGGCCTCCCCTTGAGCACTTGCACTAATTGATGGTGGGACAACTGACCTGGAACTACATTCCAGAGCAGAGGATACCCTGCTGACCTGAGGTCCCAGCGTTTCCCATGGACAGCCCTGGAAATGGATGTGCCACATCTGGCCGGACGCACGGACTAACTAGTTCACCAACTGCTTAAAATGTTGTCCTTAATTAATGACATATAAAATCTGTACTCAGATTGTTGGCAATGATCACAGCTCTGTCCAATTCCATCAAAACTTTAGCTTCCAGATATAATATCCTTGGAGCCTGAAAGTAGTGCATTCTCCACTCAAGAACTGGAATCCAGATTCCATAAATTGCAGCAGCCTGGTGACTAGTTGTATTTCCTTAAAAAAAAAAAATCCTTATTGAGGTAATCCACATATGGTAAAATTCAACTGTTTTTGTTGAATCAAAGTATACAACTAAGTTTTTTTTAGTATATTCATAAAGTTGTACAACCATTGCCACTGTCTAATTTTATAACATTTTCATTACCCTCAAAAGAAGCTTAATATCCATGAGTAGTTAGTTTTAATTCTAGTCCCAGGCAGCTACTACTCTACTTTGTTTGTATCCATTTCTTTGCTGAGATTTGCCTAAATATGGTCTTTTGTAACTGGCTTCTTTCACTTAGCATAATGTTTTCAAGGTTCTCCCGTGTTAGACATCTGTTGATATTCTTTCGCCAAATAATATTTCATTATGGATATGTCATATTTTATTTACCTATCACAGATAAGCATATTGATGGACATTTGGGTAGTTTCTTGTTTGGGGCTGCGATAAGTGATGCTTCTATGAACATTTGTGTCCAACTTTTTATGTGGACATATGTTTTTGTTTCTCTTAGATATAAACTAAGAGTAGAATTGCTATATCATATGGTAACTCTGTTTAACATTTCAGGAAATGCCAGACTGTTTTCCAAATGTCTGCATCGTCTTTCATTCCCACCAGCAATGTATGGAGTTCCAATTTCTTCATTTCTTAGCCAACCCTTATTATGGTCTGTTAGATTGTAGCAATCCTAGTGGGTTTGAAGTGATACTATAATTTTGATTTGCATTTTCTAAATGACTTGTGATTTTGAGCTTCTTTTCATAATTACTTGTGTATCTTCTTAGGAGAAATGTCTATTCAAATGTTTTGCTCATCTTTTAAATTGAATTGTCTTTTTATAACTGAGTCGAGAAAGTTCTTTATATAATCTACATACAAATCCATTATCAGATATATGACTTGCAAAATATTTTCCAATTCTGTGTTGACTTTTTACCTTCTTGATGGTATCGTTTGCAGCACACAAGTTTTAAACTTTGAAATAGTCCAGTTTGTGAGAGCACTTCAAAGGCTTATCAAAAACTGGAATTAAAAGATAAGTTTATTTTGGTATAAAACAATCTTGAAATCTGGGCATAGTTTTTTTTCCCTTATTTTTTATTTCTCATAGTTTTTTTGTAATGTAGATTTTCCACAAACTTCAAAGTGTCTTAGTATTTTTCTTTTGCTCTTTATAGTTTTGATGTTATATCTAAGAAATCATTGCCTAACCAAAAGTCATCAATTTACCACTATATTTTCTAAGAGTTGTATACTTTTAGCTCTGAAGTTTAAGTCTACTGCCTATTTTGAGTGAATTTTTATTAAGTTTTGTAAGATATGAAGGCATCCAACTTCCTTCTTTTGCATGTGAATTTCAGTTGTCCCAGCCCCATTTGTGAAAATGAATGCTCTTTCCCCATTGAATTGTTTTGGCATCTTTGTAAAAAAAAAAAATCAATTGGCCATAAATGTGATTACATTCCACTTCTGGACTCAATTCTGTTCATCAATCCATATGTCTATCCTAATGCTAGTTTACCACTGATTTCTGTAGCTTTGTACTCATTGTGTATCTCTTATCTGAAATGCTTGGGGCTAGAAGTGTTTTGGGTTTTGGATTTTGGATTTTTTTCAGATTTTGGAATATTTTGGAATAATGAGATACACTGGGGGGAAGATCCAATTGTAAACCCAGCATTCATTTATGTTTCATATGCCACTTGTGTAGATAGGCTGAAGGATTTCTATACTATTTTTGCCAACTTTGTGCATGAAACAAAGTTTGTATATACTAAACCATCAGAAAGTAAAGACACTGCCATCTCAGCCACTCCTGTGGTGGTTTGGCATCACTGTCATTCCTGACTGAATTTATCTGCTAAGGATAACCAATGAGTTTCTTGTACTCATTCATACATAAGTACTTCATAGTAAAAAATATGTCATAGCATTCATACAGTGAAAAAAATTAGGTGTTCAAGATGACTCAGCAGCAGGGTGTCATCACCAATCCCTCTGTTGTCAGCTGTTAAACAGTAACAAACAACAGCAAGCTTTCAGTGTTCGCCTATGATGGTGTGTGTTTTAACAAATTAGTTAATTTTATCTGAAATGCAGAGAGAAGGAGATAGATCTCCAGCCCCTACTTCACTCCCAACTGCCTGCAGCAGCTGGGACAGTGCCAGGGTGAACCAGGAGCTGAGAATTCAATCCAGGCCTCCTAGGTGAGTGACAGGGACCCCACTACTTGAGCCATCAGCCAGCCTATTGAATATTAAAGTCCCTTCGATTTTCAGTTCATGATGATAGATCTTTGCATTGTTTCATGCCCAGAATAGCATTAAGTGGCATGGTGTTCACTGCAAAGCTGACAAATCAGCTTCTTGAAAACACAACTCAGACTTTCATTTTTAGTTCTAGGCATTGTTTTTCTGCTTTTCATTAGCTCCTGTTCATCACTTTCTACAAAGAGCTGCATCAGTTTATCTTTTGATTTCTGCAAGTCACATGTGGTGGTCATTCCAACGTCAGGCTCTTCTATAGGACATTTTGCACTACACCACTGTCTAG